CTTTACTTGTGCTTATGTTATACATAGCATTTTTGACACACACACACATACACATACGCTTAATCACGATTATGTACAGTATCACTGTGGGAAGGATTTGTAGTAGCTGGGGATAGAAGACTTTTATATTTCACCTTCTATTCTTCTTTATGTACTATTTAAATTTTGTAAAAAGCATGCTAATTTTGAATTTTTATTTAAAAATGTTAGTTTTTAAAAACTTCTCTCCTATAGATAAAACCATCTCTGTGCTTTACTAATCCTGTAATAGCACTTCCTATGCAAAATATAAGGATAGTAGATATACTTATATCTACTCAGATAACTACAAAGTAATCAGGATACAAAGGAAGCTGTGTCTAGATCTATAAAAAGTTCTCTCCCCTCCATCTCTTTTAATTTCTTCAGTTTAGACTTCACCATAAGGTCAGAATTGATGTTATTTATTTCATATATTTCAAAAATCTGTAACCCATCACTTTGGTGACTTTAACTAGAAAAATAACCAGAAATCAATGTCATCTGCTCAAAACATATCTGTCAAATGAAGAAATAAAGCTTAGAAGAGAAGCAATATGAAATGTTAATTTCAAAATTGAATTCTAACCACAATTAGATACCACACCACACTTATTAGAATATCTAAAATTGGACAGATTGAACATACGAAGTGTTGAACAATTGAAACTCTCATATAAGTCCGATGGGAATGTAAAATGGTAGAACCAATTTCGAAAGGTTCTTGGCAGTTTCTTAAAAAGCTTCAAAATATCTTACCATATGACCCAGTTATTCCACTCCTAGGGATTTACTTGAGAGAAAGAGAAGCAGATATCCTTACCAAGGCTTGTACACAAATGGTGACAGCAGCTTTATTTGTAGTAGCCCCAGACTGGAAAAAATTGTCCATCAACATGTGAATAAATAAACAAAATGAGATATACCCATAAAATGAAATACTACTCAGCAATTTTTAAAAAATGAACATAGATGAATAGCAAAATAATTATATTGAGTGAGAGAAGCTGTACCAAAAAAAAAAAAATGCAAACTGTAGGGTTCTACTTATATAAATTTTCAGAAAATGGAAACTGATCTATAGTGACAGAAAGCAAATCAGTGGTGCCTGGGGATGGGGAGAGGGCACATAGGGCAAAGGAGTAGGATGACAAAGAAGCACAAGGAAATTTGGGGGATGGTGGATCTATACATTATCATGATGCTGGTGATAGTTTTACAGGTGCATACAGATGCCAATACTTGTCAGGTTACCTAATTTAAATATGCATTAATATAATTTATATTATGACAATTATACTTTAATAAAACCTGCTAAAAAAGTTGAGCCCTAACAATATCTGAAAAGTGCTGGACTTCCTTAGAGAAATACATAAACAAGAATCCATGTCGATGAGTTTAGATTGTAGGCCTGTGGTTTTTGAAACTTGGAAGCATGAGATGATGATGAGGAGGAGGATGGGGTAGTAGTGTTGGAGAGGACGGAGTGGCAGAACTCTTTTCTCCTACAACCTATTGGACAGCCAAATGCTATAGCATCCAAAACAGTAGCCACTAACCACATGTGCCTACTACACACTTGAAATGTAGCTAGTGGGGAGTTGAATTGTTAAATTTATTTTATTTTAATTTATTTAAATTTTAATTATCATAGCCACATGTCTATTGGCTACCATGTTGGACAGAGCAACTCTAGAACATTTGTTGCTAGAAATCTATTTGTCATTCTTTCTTTGTCCAATTGCCATTTTATTTTCCCATCCTCATGAAGACGTGAAGGAAGCTTCTTCTCTGAGGGATAAAGGGGCAGAGGGGGGCAGAAGTACACTGGACCTTTTCGAATCAACATGGATACGAGCTTGTCCATCATCACAGAAAGTTCTTTTGGACAGTGCTGCTCTCTAGAGGGTTGCCGAAGGTGTTTGAACGTGATAGATTTGAACTGACATGCAAAATGAAATTTGCTGTCTGCTTCCTTCCTAAGCCAGGAACAGGAAGAGTGATTGAACTGTACTGGCTGCCTGTCTTAAAATATACTGAGCAAATGCTACAATGAGTCAGCTATGATCCAGCTGGCTCCAGAACACAGACTGTTCATCTTTGCTCCAGATACCAGGGAAAGACCAGATCTAGGACTTAGGACCAGAGCTGGATTTTCTGTGGGGAGCTGAAAAACTATCTACAGAATGCACTCTTACATAATGGATAAGCTTCCCCCACTGATAAATGCCAATTTTCCAGTGGACCATGGAAAATTGTCTATTTTTGGTCACTCTGTGGGAGGCCATGGAGCTCTTACTTGTGTTTTGAAGAATGCTGGAAAATGCAAATCTATGTCAACATTTGCAACCAGTTTTCTGTCTGTGAGTGAGTGGGGGCAAAAATCTCTCAATGGATATTTGAAATCAGATCAAAATAAATAAAAGGCTTATGCTACTGCTCTCTTAGGAAGTTGTATTGAGGTTCTGGTTAGACATGATCAAGGAAATGATGATGAAACATTTCAGCAAGACAGCTACTTCCTGACACTAATTGTTTTCAGATTAGAAGTGGCTTATAATTACTTTTCATTGCAATCTTTACAAAGGACCACATCAGACTTCATGCAAAATACCTGAACATGGAAAACATCAGACATGGAATTTCTTCTGAATTATAGAAGTTAGAATAAAGAAAAATGAAGTTACTGATTTTAAAATATGGGTTTTAAAGCACTAAAAGAGCTTCATTCATAGTAGAATCATCTTTTAAATAAATGTACATAATATAAACAAAAAATGTTCAAGTGTATATTTATGGTTTTAGAAGGTTTACCAGCCATCATACATATTTGAATGGCCCCACACAGTTATTCAGACTTTTCTACAGTAGCTTGTTTAAAAATGTGGAGCAGACCGGCCTTACTTTACAGATCTCTTTGACATTTTTTATGAAGTTATAGGAAATCATTCAAGATTTGTCTAAAGACAAGTTTTGTTGCATAAAAAATGAATTTTCTCTGCTACATATGCAAGAAGTAAGAAACTGATCACCTTCAAGAGTCAAGTTAGATTTAAATCTCCAGGATTCTTCATCAGGTCAGAAACTGGAAATACCAACTTTATTCCTTTCTGTGCTGTAGAATTCTCTCCTTCGTGTTTACCACCTCCTCTTGCAGGCATTCTGCAGAGGTTCTACTGATTTTATGTCATCCATTTTTATTTTATCACTACTAGGAGAAATCCACAAAATTATGGTTAGGCGGCTATTAAAGTTTCAAAAATGCAGAATTTCATTCATTAATGCTTTTATTATTCTTAAAACAATAAGCCAAAAAGTTAGCCTCTCCACGCTCTTTCTATTTCTATTCGGCGTTCCTCTCAGTGAGACTCTCCATGTGGTCATGAATGGTGGACTTGAAAATTTTTGTTCCAGACGGGCCCTGGTACCACTGCATGGTGACACCTGCAGCCTGGCTGGCCACGCTCATCACCCGGCCCCCGTGGGCTGTGCTGGCTCTGTCTGTCCTCTCTGGCCCACACAGTGCACCGGGCCATTCCTGCCGGCTCCTCCAGGACCCACTTCACTCACACGCTGCCAGGTGCGTCCATGGACAGTCTCTCTGGTCTCAGTCACTGCTCTTCCAGCTTCTCCAGCCTCCGGCTCTCTGGACCCCTGAAAGGAGATCCTGGGAGAGAGGCGGCGCTAAGCAGGGCCCAGCTCTGTCATCAAAGCCTGTGCCCGTCTCCACACCACCGCCCATGCACTATCAGCAGACCCGTCAGGACCCGCAGAACTTCTGAAACAATATAAAGAAAACACGAAATGCTCCCTCTATAGTATATAAAACTCAGCTGTGGAAGGTCTAGCCCCATAAGAAATCTCATTCAAAAGAACAGGAGCAGCAGAAGCTAATAGTAACCAAAAAAGCCGAGTCCCTTCTTAAATGAAGGTAGAGCTGACAAATAAAAGTTGCATACAGATGCTCCTCAACTTACGATGGGGCTATGTCCCAGTGAACACATTAAGTCAAAAATATCATGAATCAAAAAAGCATTTTATACTGGATAAACCCATCCGAAAGTCGAACTGTGACAAGCCAGGACCGTCTATATATTTGCAGTGTACAACGTGATGTTTTCGTGTATGTGTACGTTGTGAAATGGTTACATTGAGCTAATTAACATATCCATCACCTCACGTACTTACCATTTTTGGTTGTGAGGACATTTAAGATCTACTCTCTTAGCAGTTTTCAAGTATATAATACATCATTATTAACTGCAGTCACCATGCTGCTGTGCAATATATCTCCAGAACTTACTCTTCCTGTCTGAAACTTTGTACCCTTTGACCAATATCTCTCCATCCTGCCCTACTTGCTCTCCCCACCAGACCCTGGCAACCACCTGTTAAATTAGGATTAGCTTAAAGCTACCTCCTTTCAAATTTTAAGTTCAGCCTAAAGGGTTCTCCCTACATAGTGAACTGTGACTCAACTGGACATGGAAACAGACTGTAACCTACTCTTGTGCCAGTCGCTGAGCTTCAGCCAGTTAAAGGTGGCCAACCCTTCCATCCTGGTTCTTATTTGGCACAAGCCAAGCTGTAACCAATTCAGCTGTTTCTGTGCCTCATTTTCCTATTCTGTACATGCCTTTCCTTTTTCTGTCCATAAATTCTCTTCGGCCACATGGCAGCGCCGAGTCCCTGTGGAGCTATTCTGATTTGGGGGGCTGCCCAATTCGCCAATCGTTCTTTGCTCAATTAAACTTGGTTAAATTGAATTTGTGTAAGGTTTTTCTTTTAACACCCCTTTCTACTCGCTGCTTCTGTGAGGTCAACTGTTCTAGATTTTACAAGCCAAGTCTCTGCTGTGGCTTCAGGCATCCTTCCTGGAGCTTTGGGGGGTGGGGGCAGGCAGGGGCATTGCCACCACCGCAGCCCAGGAACCCACGGGGTGAAATCAAAAGTGTGCTACTGACTCTCTCTCCTTAATTCAGGAATTTCCCCCTCTGTGATCAAGTTCTCATGTTGGCAGCTGAGAAAGCCACTGACAGCTGGGGAGTTATTTTCTCCTTTAGTCACAAGATGATGGAGATAATCTTGGACGGGAAGTGTGGGGGAGAAGAGGAGACAAGTGCTGGCGGCTCCAACCAGAATTGGGTAAGGTGGCTCCTAGCCTAGAGCTTCCCTCGTGGAGATCAAACAGCTAAAGACCTCACGATTCTATCCCTTACGTTCAATGAGAAACAACTCAATCGGATCAACACAACTCTTGAGGTGTCAGAAAGAAGGACCAGGTTTTAAATCAGCCATGTTGTTATTTTTAAGAATCATTACAAAACACATAATCCGAATTGTGTCATTTCCAAAAACTGAGGAATCCATAAAACTCAATAGAGTACTATTTTCCAACTATGAATTCCGGCCAGGAAAATTATTTGAAGTTAATCCTTCCTGTTGTGTTGATGACTATAGAACTAAAACAGGCAGAAACTTGGAAATCTAGAGTTGTTCTTTGTAAAAAGTTGGTAGGTGCCCTGACTAGGAGTACATTTGCCTGGAGGGACAGTTATTGTTTAGAAATTTTCCACTTGCTGTCTTAGAGCGTCCATGAAGTTACAGGTTAACCCACTCTTTATTTTAAATATATTAAACATGCTCTCTAATGCATGCTAAGTATATAATACATACAGTATATAAACTATTAAATTTATAATAGACCACTGACTTCTACTTGTTTAAAATTGTTTTTGGATAATTAAAGTTTCTTCTAGACAGTGCATCTTTTCCAGATTGTTCTCTAATGGAGTGCTACGTGTCACAGTATTAAGTTCAACCAATATCTATTGAGAACCTCCTGTGTGCCAGGTGGGTGATATCCTGGCATATGTTTCACTGAAAAAGAGGTTGTTAATTTTGGCTGTGTCTTAGGCAGGCTTCTCTACACCTCTCAGTTTTTTTTTGTCTTTGCCATTGTTAGTTAGTTGCCCCATCTATAGCAATAGTATAAGCACACACTAGTGCAATGATTAAATGAGAGAGGCAGGAAGATTCCATTTAATAACCATAATATAATTTTTAAAACTGGAATCTAATTCTCAATTTCAAATAATTCTCGATTATGGCTTCACTTTTAACTTACAGCCACAAAATATATCACATAGAAGAAATATGAAGAAAGAATACATAAATAATGCCGTGGTAGGATGATGTGATTATTTTTATGTATTCTACATTTTCATTACTTTTAAGATACTATATTAAAATGGAAAATAAATAAGCTTGCCTTCTTAGTAACAAATGCTTGTCTAACTGCTGGCCTCAGGCAATTTCACCCTCTAAAGTCTTCTTCACACCAGGGTTAAAATATCATTAGTTTAGTAGCTTTTTCTACACTTATTCTGGGTTCAAATTGGCCTACGAGTCTCTTAACTTCTCTTGGATAATTTCTCTTCCTTAGACAGTCTAAACTTCTGAGTGGGGCTTTTCTCTTATTAATTCTGCTTTCAAAACCATTACCTTATTTCTTCTCAATAATTGGAATTTTTTAAAAAAATGTGTTGAATGCATTTGGCAATAGTTTTATTTCCTGTGTTGTTTGGGATAAATTTGTCTGTTTCTCTAAGTCCTGACTTTAATCTGGATTTGTTTCACTAAGCAAACCAATGAAACCGTTTACTGACCAGTGATTGCATGTCATGAGCTGTCCTTGTTCGGGGCCATTGTGTACAGCTGTGCAGGTGTCCCCTGCACAAGGGCATCTGGCTAGCGGGTGAATGGAGGCTATTTGTTAACATGTGACAAGAGGAAGAGACACCATATGGGCTAGTAGCAGCCCTGTCCTTAGCATTGAGTAATGATGGGAAATACATTTGAGACACGTATAGTCCTGCTTTTAGGCACTTACATAAAGAGAGGAGAGACTTGAAAAACAGAAAAAAAATTTAAGAGAGTAATTTTCTTCTAATTTAACAAATAAACTATAAATTTCAAAGGTATTTAAAGAAGGAAGAGATAAAGGTGGACTGGAGTATTTAGGTACAGCTCCAGCAAGTCATGGAATTTCAAAAAGATCTTTAGATTTGTTAAGACCACTGGTCTTCTCTATTTTTAGTTACATAAAATTTTTATGCAGGAGCAATCTTATCCACAAAGTGGGTTATTAGAGACATACATTGGGGTTTGAGTGATGTTAGCTACCCCTTTCCCCTTTCAAATGCCTCTGAACCTTACCCCATCCCCTGGAATTTGTGGCTGGAATTAGTGAGTTATCCCTGCGAGTTAAGGCATGGCCACCACAAGATGCCCTTTGTAAAAAGGAAGACATTCTCAAAAGGTTAAACATACCAAATGCAATCTGCCCAGGTGATTCTGATGAATGGGGCTGTTCATGCCTCAGCACAAATGGACTGAGATACCACCTCAACAGCAGACTCTGAAAAGGGACCACAGTAGCCTGGATTCCACCTGATATAGTTAGTAGTCCTCCCTTACCCATGGTTTACGTTTTTCAGTCTTAGTTACCTGAGATCATCCGCAGTCTGAAAACATGAAATGGAAAATTCCAGAAATAAACAACTCATAAGTTTTAAATTGCACTTTCTTCTGAGTAGGGTAATGAAATCTCACACTGTTCTGCTCCATCCCACCTGGTACATGAGTCATTTCTTTGCCCAGTAACTCCATGCTGTATGCATTATTCACTCTTAGTATGGACACATCTACTGTTGATATCCAACCATGGATATCACAATGGCTCGATGCTCCAGTATCACCCAAAGCAGATGGTCTTCTTTCTGACATAATCATCAGAAGATCAATAGTAGTCTAATAGTACATCACAATGCCTTCCTCGTTCACTTCACTTCATCTCATCGCCTAGGCATCTTATCATCTCATATAATCACAAGAAAGGTAAGTTTAGTGAAACAAGGTATTTTGAGTGAGAGAGACTACATTCACATAACTTTTACTGTAGTATACTGTTATAATTGTTGTTTTATTATTTGTTATTATTAATCTCTTACTGTGCCTAATTTATAAATTGAACTTGTCTTAGATATGTATGTATAGGAAAAAACATAGTACCTACAGAGTTTGGTACTAATCTAAGGCTACTTGGGGTCTAGAACATACCGTTCATGAATAAAGGGGAGCTGCTGTACTTGTATACACTTTATGGAACATGAATTTCGACATCCTGGATCACCTAATCTGTTGAGATTCTAGCAAAGACACTTCATATAAAATAGTTCATTAAAAAGTTTTACCCTATATAAACAAAGGCAAGAGAACAGTTGAATCATTCCAGCAATGGGTTTCTCCTCTTAAGTCTACTGTGTCATCCACTCTTGAGTACAGCCCTGGCAGGTCATTATTGGAGTGTGATCCATAAGGACAAACTCGATGGAGAGGAGGAGGCTCAGGGTGCAAGAATAAGGGCCCGAGGTGGAATAAGACAAGAACATTCTTAGCGCTGGCAAGGAAGGGGACATCAAGTCAAAAGAATTATACTGGATAAAGGAGAAGACAAGAGAAATTTGGAGGTAGAGGGGAAAAAAGTTAAGAGTAGAAGCTAACACTGCATCTGCCTCCTTGTAGAGCAGATAATAAGATCATCTGCTAAGGTGGAAGGCAGGTTTGGGCTGGAATCTCAAGGAGGACTGCAAAGATTTATAAACCCCAGCATCTGTCCTCTTATTTCCAACTCCACTACCTTCAGAACCAATCCTGTAAAAGAAAATTTTATCAACAAATATGTACTCAATGATTTTAATGCGTCAGCCCTGAGAAAACACCTGTGAACCAAACAGACATAATTCCCATCTTCTTGGAATTTACAGGTCTAGCTGGAAAATGCAGACAATAAGTATGAAGAGTTATGAGGAAGAAAAGTTCACTGGGAGTTAGCCTTTTGAGAGAGACATCACGTAGGAGACGGATGACATCTATCTATGCCATGTTAGGTGGAACTAGTTAAGGGGAGAATTCAGGCTTCAAGTTATGACTCATACCTTTCCCCTCCAGACTAGCTAATTATTTCTCAGTAGACTTCCCTGCCTCCTAGCTCTACCCAGTCCTATACGCCACCAAATGAACTATTGTTATCATGATTCTTCTCCAAAACTGTCAATAGTCCCCCAATGCCTACCACATAGGGTTCAAACATCTTAGGCTGATTGAAGGCCTCCCACCAGATGACCTTGACGTTCCTTGCATACCTAATTCCCACAACTCTCCGTTCCAGCTCAACTCACAGATTGTCCTTCGTGTATGTTTCATGCTTTATCACCTCTCCACTTTTGTCCCTGCTGTTCCTTTCATCTCGAATGTTCTTCCTCCACTATCCATTCTTCATGTCTCATTTCTGCATGAAGACTCTACTCTCACTTCCATGGGGAAGCCTTCTCTATCCCCAGCACTAGAAGCAATCTCCCTTTTTGCATGTACATGAACTTTCATTCATATTTCTCTTAAGATATTTTTTACAGTATTCCTTGCACTGTGTATATTTTATATTCTCCACATCTTCATATTATAATATCAATATAAAGACAAGATTTATGCCTTATTCACCTTTTTTTTTTTCTGAGACAGAGTCTCGCTTTGTTGCCCAGGCTAGAGTGAGTGCCATGGCGTCAGCCTAGCTCACAGCAACCTCAAACTCCTGGGCTCAGGCAATCCTGCTGCCTCAGCCTCCCGAGTAGCTGGAACTACAGGCATGCACCACCATGCCCAGCTAATTTTTTCTATATATATTAGTTGGCCAATTAATTTCTTTCTATTTTTAGTAGAGACAGGGTCTCACTCTTACTCAGGCTGGTTTCGAACTCCTGACCTCGAGCAATCCGCCCGCCTCGGCCTCCCAGAGTGCCAGGATTACAGGCGTGAGCCACCGCGCTAGGCCCTTATTCACCCTTAGACTCCATAGTACTTTATACTCCAATATGAAATCTATTTAGCTAAAGGAAATGCTTTATTAATGTTTGTTGAAGTTAATGCCAAAAAAATGTCATATTAGAATGGATGCTTGGAAGTTTACTGTGATCCTGCACAAATTGATTCTTATAGCTATATTTTTTTCTACATTCCTGTAATATAAATGTTTTAGATATACATATATTTCATCCACTCACTCATTTCATTCATTCATTATTCATTCATTATTCAGCATAAACATATTGAAGACCTGCCATATGCAAAGCATGTGCAGGACTGGGAGGATGCTAGCTCTGGCTTTATGCAGCGTACACATTCATTGATCCATGTTTATGTCATTCTTATTTCCCTTTTTTTCCAGACAAAGGGAAGCACAGAGGTACTGCACATCACCACTGTCCACCAAGAGCAACGTATAATTGGAATGACCTTCATTTTAAGTTGTGAACTGTGGAGCCAGAATAAGCCGTGTGATACACAGACCCAAATTAGATGCCATTTTAACATCGACAGAGAATATTGGCTTTTTAGAGATTCATCTTTATGTTTGTTGTTTGGAGATTTTGCTCTAAGTAGATATCAATTACGTTTTCCCCTTTTTCCATTTTGTCTGCAATTATTTTCCTGGCATTCATTCAATAGAGAGCTTCAAGTCATGTTTTCAGATTGAAATAAACTTTGATGAAAATTGAAAATCAATGCTTTCCTTCTAATAATGTTAGCAAAATGGGAAAAAGCCTCTAATTTTGTAATTATAATCAATATGTAAAGGGGAAATGGCCATACATATACTGCATATTTTACGAAGTAGATTTAGTTTGGTTACATTCATTTTTTTTTTAAATAATCAGGCCATTTTTTAAAAGTTGCTATATATACAATACTTTTTTTTAAATGTTGTTACTGGATATGAGTGCATCCTGTCTGGATGCCTAGCTAACCCGTTAGATGTCCAGCCTCCTGTCCTGCAAGAGCCTTGATCCTCATATTGGGGTTGGGGGGGGCACACAAGCCTGTCTCTTGCTTCCTAAGGACTCCATTACTCATTTCTACGCACAAGTCTTTGGGGACCCAATCTATCTGTGCCTCCAGATCTCCCCAGACTCCTTAGCAAATACTGCCCAATGCAGCGAATTCATGTCTCTCGTAGCCGGGCGCGGGGCAGGCAGGCTCGCCCGCTTTCCCTCGCCTCTGCCTTCCCAGCTCCCAGTCTTCTCTCCCACGGCCCATCTGCCCTCCTTGCCTCCGCCCCCCGCGTCCTCTCTGCTCCCCTTTATTTCCACTCCCCACCCGCGTGGCGTTGCTGTCCCGCTCCCCCTCGGCTTGTCCGTATTTGGAGCTCCCGGAAGCTGCCGGCGACTCTCCCCGGGAGCAGCGTGACTGACACCGACTGCCATTGGGGGGAGGCGGGAGGGGAGGAGAAGGGGAGGACGCGCGGGAGGAGGGTGCGAGTGGCCGACCACGGATTTGCATCGCCGGGGACAAGACCCCAGGGCAGCGAGGCAGGTAATCCCGCAGCGGCCCGGGCCCGGGAGGCTGGGAGGGGCGGGGGTGCAGGTGCGGGGGCGCCTGGCGGCTGGCGCGGGCAAGTGCGCCCGGTGGCTGGGTGGGTGGCGTGGGGAGGCGGCGGCGCGCGGGGAATAAAGGCTGCGCGGGAGCTGGGGCCCGGACGCGGCAGGCGCGGGGGCCTGGCGGGGCTGGGACGCGGGGACCGGACGCGGGGGCGCGGGCACCCCCATCTGGGTCAGCAGCGCGCCCTGCCCCCGCCGCCTCCCCGCGCCGCTCGCCAGGCAGGCGGCCGCGGCCTCCCCACCCGGGCGAGCGGGTCTGACCTAGGGGGGTCTCGCCCTCTCAGCTGCCGGTCTCACGGGGGTGTGCATAGGGGGGAAGGGGACTGTCGCTGCTCCAGCTACCACCAGAGCCACCTCCAGCAGAAAGTGCTGGAAAGAAACAGACCTGGCTTCTCCTCTACAGAATCTGACTTGAGGCGATGAGTCACTTCTAAAAAATGCAAAGGCAACTGAGGCATGGAGGAATGGCTCCGAAAAAGGGCACCCCACAGCTGGCCCTCTGACTGCTCTGGGCAGAGGGCTGTTCGTGGAAGTAGCCACCTTATCATCACTTTTTAGGGCCAGTAAATCAGACATGCAGGTGGCCTTTATTTTCATCAGAGTGGTGTTCGCTACCACAGATACGCTGCAAGTTTTGGCAGCATTTGAATTGGTGCGTTCTTTAAAATGAGTAAATATGGGTGACTGCATTTAGGGTATTGAACTGGGATTGGATCCAAACAGAGTGAAGACGAACACTTGGCAAAAAGATCTAGGACCTTTGGTTGTATAGTCTGCAGAAGCCTCCAGGACTTGCAAACCATGGTTTACCAGACTCGTTTGCAAAGTGCTATTTATTTACTGCTTATATATCCTTTTCTTTTAATTTAAGGAACGCACCTTAGAATTCCTGGTAAAGTATGTAAGCCCACTTAATACGAAATTACAATGGTAGAGTGAACGTTGGCGAGTTGGTCTTACTTTTACTAGAGTCTAATTAGACTGTAAGCCCCTTGAGAGCAAGAATGGGGTGTTTGCTAGCCCCTGCGGCACCAAACAGTATTTGACTCACAGCTTGTAATGAAGAGATAATAAAAGTTTGTGAAAATAGTTAATTCAATACTTTGTGGCTGGAGCATGACTTCTTGAAGATACTGCATATTTTGCAAGGAAAGACTACTCCATAAATCCCCAAATCTAAAAATCCTTAACAAACTTAGAATCAAAGTGTCATAGAAATATTTATTAAGGATAAAGAGAAAAACAGTTGACTATGGGAAATCATGAAGTTGATTATCAAGGCAGTCAGAAGTGGGTTTTTTGCTGCTGTCTGTTGAAGTGCAAAGTAATTTAATTTGTTGATGCCATAGGGTTTGGTAAACTTTTTGAGTAAAGAGCTAGATAGTAAATATGTAGGTTTTGCAGGCCATATGTTCTCTTTAGCAACTATTTAATTCTGCTGTTATGACTTGAAAGCAGCTAAAGACAATACATAAGGAATGGTGTGGCTGTGTTTCACTTTATTTATGGATATTGAAATTTGAAGTTCATATAATTGTCATCAGTAACAAAACATTCTCCTTTTTTCCCCAGACATTTAAACTCGTAAAAGCCATTCTTAGCTCGGAGAAGGGGGGAACACAAAACTATTAGAGAAGGGAGGAGTGGATTAATCTCACTGGCAGTAGTTTACTACTCTCACTGACCCTGTGCTAGAGTTTGGAGAGGAGTCTTTTGGAAGGATTAGTGGGTCAGATTCTCTGAGTGCCCCGAGAGTTAAGTCAAATACCCTCAAGAATAGCAATGATTGATTTGGGGCACTATGGCATTTTATTTTGTTTTGAATATTTCTTAACAGACATCTTTGTGCATGAGGTTTTGTTTTTAATTCATTAATTATGTAATATTTTATATGTTGTAACAATATGCTAAGTCTATGTACATTATAACCTATATAGTTGATTGAACACCTCTAAACCCATCACTAGGTTTAGAAAATAGGGCTGAAGAACTAGATGGTTGTGAATAGGAGAAAATATTTAGAAATCATGTCTCTAATAAGGGACTTGTATCCACAATATATAAAGAGCTCTTAGAACTCAAAAATAAAAAGATAAATAATCCAGTTTAAAAATGGACAAAGGATCTGAATAGATATTTCTCCAGAAGAAATACACATGGTCAATAAGCCCATGAAAAGATGCTCAACTTTATTATTCATCAGGGAAATGCAAATCAAAATTACAGTGAGATATCACTTTATACTCACTAGCATGCCTGTAATCAAAAAAATAAGATAATAACAAGTGTTGACGAGGATGAATCGGAACCTTCATACATTGCTGAGGGTAATAAAAAATGGTGCCTTCACTTTGGAAAATAGTTTGGTAGTTCTTCAAGTTAAACATAGTTACCATATGACCTAGCAAGTCCATTATAAATATATATCCAAGAGAAATTAAAATATATGTCCACAGGAAAAACTATATACAAATGTTTATAGCAGCACCGTTTGGAAACAACCCAAATAAATGTCCATCAACTGATGAGTAGATAAAATGTGGTATATCCATTCAATGGGATATTATTTTGCCATAAAAAGGAAGTACTCATCCATATGTACTACAACACATGAACCTTGAAAACATTATACTAAGTGAAAGAAGCCAATCACAAAAGACCACATATTGCATGATTCCATTCATATGAAGATGTTTGGAACAAGGAAATCTATAGAGACAGAAAGTAGATTGGTTGTTGCTTAGGGCTGGGGAATTGGGGTGAGGTTAGGTAGGGAAGTGATAGATAAAAAGTACAGGGTTTCTTTTTGAGCTGAAAAAGTGAAAATGTTCTAAAATTGTGATGGTTGCACATATTTTTGAACACACTAAAAGCATTGAATTGTACACTTTAAATGGGTAAATTGTATGGTATGTGAATTATATCTCAATAAAGTTCTTAAATAAAATAAACAGAAGGCTGGGGGAGAAAAGAACTAGATTGTTACCTATCCTGTTGCATCTTTCTTTGTGCAATACCCTTGTGCCATTCCCTGTGTTTCTTCCAAACCTGATTTTTATGTTAATCATTCCCTGGTTTTAATGTAAAGCAGTTTTATGACATATATATGTGTTCCAAACAATACATTGTTGAGGTTTGCTTGCTTTTTGATTTATAAAAAAGGTATATATATCTCACTTTCTTGAAACTCAACATTAACTTTTAAGAATGATCCATATTGTTGCATGTAGCTATATAATGCTTTTTGGCAACTATTCCATCATTTACTTAGCCATTCTCTTATTGACAGGCATTTGGGTCGGTTCCCACGTTTTGCTATTACAGAGTGCTGCTTTGAAGACTTTTTTCCATGTATCTTGGCACACATGTGCAAGAGTTCTAAGTGAATATGAATGTGCCATGTATTTTAATGGCAAAAGAAAATAGCTGATTCTTCTTTGACTTACACATTGATGCTACATACCCAACTTATTTATTCCCCCAAACCAAGGTAGAGTGACTATATCTGGGATTCTGGCTTCTCATCCTACTTCAATTCTAATTGTAATATCTATTTTCCCATGTGTTTTGAAGTGTGGAAAATACTAATCTAAAGCTTCACAGCTGAATCTCACAGCATGATCTCTTAACCCCAACCACTCACAATCATTTTCATCCCCTTACAGCACCTGGGTTAGGATGGGGCAGAGGACAACTTGAACTATTAAATCAAGGGACATTACTTTAGTCCGGGTAGATGAGTTACTTAACCTCACTAAAATTTTCCTAGTATTGTGTATCCTGCTGGGTGGTCCAGAATTCCTGATGTGATTTAGTTTGGTTATTCTGCTAACAGTGAGCCAATCAGAAATCTGGTGGTTTAGCCTGGAGGACTTTCTAGGTCTGCCCCTGATTCAGGCTGTGAGCTTTTGCAGTTCGTTCAGGATATTTCTATTTGCAGTTAGGAAGGGAGGAAGAACCGTAAAGTCAGAACAAATCATTATAAAATTTTTTTAATTGTTTTCATTGTGGTAAGATATAAGTGACATCAAATTTTAACCATTTTTAAGTGTACAGTTCAGGGCCATTGAGCACGTTCACATTGTTGTACAAGTGTCACTATTGTTCATCTCCAGAATTTTTTCATCCTCCTAAACTAGAGTCTGTACCCATTAAATGATAATTCACAATTCTCCTCTCTTGCAGCCCATGGTAACCAACATTGTACTTTCTATCTCTACGAAGGTACCTTATATAAGTGGAATTATACAATATTTGTCTTTTTGTACATGAACTTTTATATCCAGGGGAATTCCATCTTGTTTTGTTTTTCTCACTTGAGGAAAACATGGCTTCTTTTACTGAGAATTTATGTAATAGGATTGTTTCCCTTTCAATACACAGCCCTATATAATAAGGGGCATAGAGAGGTGTCTAAAACCAAAAGACCTTTTGGCTACTGTGAATGGGGTCTTCATCTGCCCTGTCTAGTTAATTAGATATCTACTTATCCTGGCTTCTAGTTGGCCACTCAGCCAAGTGGAGAAGATGCGGTAATTCTTAATTCTTAAAATTTTACACCTAAGGATGAATGGATAAATGAAGTAACCGAGAGTTGCCTGTTAGCCCCCAGCTTCTCAGAATTTAAAGGCCTTTCTGCAATATAACAGTCAGATCTAAAATCTCTTGTTTTGATAGGGAGGGGTATGAAATAGAAGGAAGTTTCTGGGAGACTGACAATAGAAGTGAGGTGACCTAAATGGCAGTTATGAAGAGGATGGTCCCTGAAGTTAGATGCTTGAGACACCAAAGACAGACCTGTAGTATTATCTTATGTCTATACTTGTGCACTGTTTAATGAGAAAATAACCTTTGTTACTTTGCATCATTCCCCCTGGAAATCCAGAAAAATTCTGGGATCTATTGATTACTTATTCATTCCCCCTATGTTGAAGG